CTCTCCATCCTCTTCCATCCTGAGGTAGGAAGTCGGGAAAATGAAGATTTAGGAAGATGGTAGGTAAGTAGGATGGGGAAGGAAAGGGACGTCGTACGAGGAAACTTTCAGGGGATCGTGTTTTACATTCTTTCCCAGACCGCAGGAGGTGCCTGCCCCTCACATCTAGGGCATATCAACATTGTATTCCTTGACAAAGGAATGATGTCCTTGTTTTCATGATGTCGATGATGTCTCACTTTGAATTTATCGAACGCGTTCCTTTACTCGACGACTGCTGTGGGTATGGACCGGAGGGGTAGGGATGATACTTCTGTAAGTTTTTTCCCCATCGGGACATGGATCCAAAAAACAGGTATGGGACTGCGGTATTACATCGAATACTTATTTGCGGTCAAAAAAGAAAACACATCTATCAGAGACTGCCAATTCAAAAGTGCTGACAAGTAGAACTACCTTAAAACGTTTCCGCAAAGGGAGTAGCTTTAACAAACCTTTCATTAGGTGAATACTTTGCGCCGCTATCCAGAAACGCTTGAACCACAGCTATGCCAACTTCCATAATGTACCGTTGACCGTTTTCATTTTGCGTCCACCATGGATCCCCTGCTCTAAATTTCAAGCCAAAAATATCATGAAAGGACCGAGTAGAAGTAATTACTCGCAAAAAGGACTGAATAAGGGATCAAAAGTAAAAAAGGACCAACCTATATTCCGATGAAAGAAGCTCAACAAACTCAATAAAACTGAGATCCAGTTTCGATATCAGCGAGACGTAGAAACTTGCGGGTAGGATACATCGTTTTGACCGTCCTGTCATGCCCGAGCCAAGTTCAAGCAATCGTCGCAAAATATAATCTAAACACAGGCAACTATTGAAAAACAGTACTTTAGAAGTATCTCTGTAAATTTATGCTAACTCACTTCGAGGGAAATATTTCGTCTGCCCATAAATAGAATGCAAATCATGTAGCGTACACAATAACCGTTCGGGTACCTCGCCCTCGTATTTAAACTCTACAAAAATACAATTCAATAGATAATGGACTATGGTTTGTTGATAAAATGCTATTACAAGACATTCTGTGCAGAACGCTCCCACTACGATGAACACTTTCTTATACGGAGAAGCGCAGCGCGCTAAGAGTGCATTCATACTTTGCGTCAGCGTTTTGAGCGACTAGGAAAGTGTAGGTATCGACTTAGTGTTCTCGGTGTCAGCCAGCGTTCTGAGTGTGGCG